TGTATGTCATAGCTGCACATCCTTCTAGTTGCTGTATGTGGGACGCGGCCTCAGCATGGCCGGAGAAGTGGTGCGTTGGTGCGTGCCCGGGATCCGAACCCGGGCCGCCAGCAGCGGAGTGCGCGCACTTAACCGCTAAGCCACGGGGCCGGCCCCAGAAGCTTTTTAGTTTGATATAGTCTCACTTGTTTATTTTTGATTTTGTTGCTTGTGCTTTAGGTGTCATATTCAAAAAATCATTACCAAGACCCATGTCAGGGAGCTTTATTCCTATGTTTTCTTCTAGGAGTTTCATAGTCTTAGGTCTTACATTTAAGTCTTTAATTTGTTTTGAGTTAATTTTTGTGAATGGTGTAAGATATGGGTCCGGTTTCATTATTTTACGTGTGAATATCCAGTTATCCCAGCACCGTTTATTGAAGAGACTGTCTTTTCTCTGTTGATTATTTTTGGCTCTCTTGTCCAGTATTAGTTGACTGTATATGCTTTGGTTTATTTCTGGCCTCTTAATCCTGTTCCATTGGTCTATTTGTCTCTCTTTATGCCAGTACCATACTGTTGTGATGACTCTAGCTTCATAGTACAGCTTGAAATCAGGAAGTGTGATGCCTCCTGCTTTGTTCTTCTTTCTCAGGATTTCTTTGGCTATTCAGGGTCTTATGTGGTGCCATATACACTTTGGGAGTGTTTTTTCTACTTCTGTAAAAAATGCCATTGGAATGTTAAGAGAGATTGCATTGAATCTGTAGATGGCTTTTGGTAGTATTGAGATTTTAACAATATTGCTTCTTCCAATCCATGAACATAGGATACCAGTCCATTTATTTATGTCTTTGCTTTCTTTCATCAATGTCTTGTAGCTTTCAGAGTAGAGATCTTTTACCTCCTTAAATTTATTCCTAAGTATTTTATTGTTTTTAATGCTATTGTAAATGGGATTGATTTCTTTCTTTCTTTTTCAGAAAATTCATTGTTCAAGATAATTTCTAGTAAACATTTGAGTATTACCTAAACTGCATGGTTGCCATTTTTAATAGTGTATACTGTTCCTTTGTGTAAATATATCATCATTTTAACCATTTCCATATTAGTGCATATTCAGATTGTTTCTATTTTTATGAATATTTTTGTTTGCATTTTTTTCCTGGAATTATTTATTTGAGGCAGAAGCCTCAAAGTGGAATCACCAGATCCAGAAATATGAATGATTTTATAGCACCTTAGTGTCCTTTCCAGATAGATTGAATTGATGCCATGCCCACAGTAAATTCTTAAATAACCTGCTTCTCCCTCAGAGTCCCACCAGGCTCAATTTTAATAGATGAGATGTATGATTTCTCTAGATTGTTTTAAAATTCGTTTCTTTATTCGTTAAGGATGTACATTTTCTCATGTGGTGGTAAATTCTCTGAAATGCTAGACACTTTGCCAGTTTTATAAAATAAACATTAAATTTAAAGCATTTCATTGTTTTGTTTGTCATCCCGAAGTTACTCCATGCTTACATATTTTTCCTGTCCTATACTGTAAGCCTGATTATTGGAACAGCATCGTCTGTTCTTCCATACTTTGATGTACTTTAGCAGTTGTGGCGATGACTTTTCCAGGTCCTTTGACCTCATGATCAGTGGCATGGATTTTTTTAATATTAAGATGCAATATTGCCCTTGAGCTTGGTTCTCGTTAGCACTTAGGTAAATACTGGCAGTTGACTCATTTTCAGAACCACCTCTAGCTTTTTTTTTTTCCCCTTAATTTCTCATCAAACTTTACTTTTGAAATGCAATAAAACCTCAATTACTTGGAGCGGAAGTGAATGGAACATATTCACTGAATTCTTTAACTAACTGAAAGGTTAATATCTACAATAACTGTAGACCCAGTCCTGCATTTTAAGGTTATTCTCTAGGTGGGTCTATATGTTGTTTTATTTTTATTCTGATTAAATTCATCCGTTATGCATATTGAAAATTACACTCTGTCTATTAAAAATGATCCAAAGCATTAGTTTAATTTTTCTAATGACAACATCCCTGGGACTGTTACTAAGAGAGAGGTATTTGTTATAGAATTATACATGTGTTTGTGTCATCTTGTTACTTAAGAGCTTGTATTTTCACTGTGGTTGAATTGGGAAATTCTGAATTTGGCAATAAACTTACAGTGAGTCTCAGATTAGCCCCTTGAACAATGAAATAGTATTGCCAAAAAGATTGATGGCTAATGCTAAAAATTAATATGGTATAGACTGAATGAGGTAGTTATCCTTCTGCTTATTTATGAAATGGTAAGAACCGAACCTCTTGTGCCTTGTGCTGTTCAATAAATATTTATTTATAAAATGCCTACTATGTGAAAGACGATGTGAGGGCATACGTAGATGAATTAGAGCAGTTCCTGGCTCAGAAAACATACACACTGGGATCAGGAAGGTAAACTGAGTAAGTAAAAGTCTCCATGTGGACTATGGCTAATTAAAGAGCACTTGCCCTTCTGTGGGGGGTAGCTGCTCTTCCAGTGTAGTGCGTTATTGCCATGGGGGATTCAGGCTCAGAGTTGTCAGATCTGACTTTTTAAGAGAAGACTCAAGTCTAGATTTTTGTGAAATATCCTGATTTTTTAAATACTGATTTTTAAGTATTATTCAGATCTTTAAAATATTGTTATTAGGTCATATTCA